GAAATATAAATTTGTCGGAAAAATTGAAAGTATTTTGAGCGTATATTTTTGTGTGCTCGCGGTTTTGTTTTCATTTCATCGCCTAATGATTGAAAATATGCATGGATTTCGAATTAGCCATGTATTTAAATGGTTTTTGAATTGAAATCGTGGCAATTACGGCCTCGATTTGCCATGTGACAAATGGTGTAACGGTCTAAAAATATTTCGTATTTTATAAGTCATCAAATGCTTGAAAAGTATTCAGATTTTAATGAACAGTTTGATATTGCTGATTTGCTGGTATTTTGAAGTTCGCATTTAAAAAAAATTTTAAGTATGGCAAATGGAATTTTTCCAAAATACGAGCTTAATGCTAGACCGTACATCGTGTTTCTTACTAATGTGGGCTAATGATGTTTGGGTGTGATTGTGGTATCGTTTTGCTTCATTAGCCAAAACATGGACTTGCAGAAACGCTCATATTATGAATATTAATAATCCCATATAAACTCAAAATGAAATTTAGTAGGAAACTAGGCGAGCTCAGGTACCCTGGCTGGCTTGCCCCATACAAACAGCCCCTAGGGGCAATGACATATTTTTTGTAGCTGCTGGTAGTCCGGGGCTTCAGATCAGACACTGTTCACCCCTGAGATCATGGGTTTGATCCTCACGGCACAGCCATAACATTTCTGTGCAAAGAGTAAAACCATCTACGTCCAATTACAGTCGAACCTCTATTAAGCGGCCACCCTAGGGGATCGGCTTTGTGGCCGCTTAATAGAGGTGGCCGCTAAATAGAGGTACGCAAATAATAGACCCTGGGCGTAGTCAATGCTTTTGAGGTGTAAAGCTGTTGAGGTGTAAAGTGGCATACATGTGCATGTTAAAACATAATTTTTAAGCCTTATTTTACAAATAAAGCAAATTGGCTCGACTTTTATTTTTGGCTCTCTTGACAAGGTGTTGCGCCAAGTAAATCCTGCAGGCTTGCCGCTTAATAGAGGTAAAAATTGACATAAAACATCATTTGGGACCACTCAAACCACTAAAACCCTGATATTTGTAACTAACATACCCTAATTGTAACATTTTGTAGACAAACAACAACGTATCTGATCTGGAAGAAAATTTTCAAGGAATAAATATCAATGACGAAAAAGAGCAAAAACCCAATATGCAAGAGGTATACTGAAATAAATATTAATGTTCAGCTTTCAATTCCAAAACATTTTGTAGTGACTAATTTGGTCTTGGCGGACCGATCATTTTTAACCCATTTATGACCAGCACTCTCCAGGGTGTCCACGGGCCTTGAAAATCCTGGAAAGTCCTTGAATTGGAAAAACCTCCAGCTATGCCAACAGTAATGATTTTAATTACTGAATAAAGTGGGGCAAATCCGTGCCATTTTCAAAGATTTTTCCCAGTTCTAGGTCCTTGAATTTACTGAAAAAGAGCCTTGAAAGTCCTGGAAAAGCCCTTGAATTCCACCTTCACCAAAGGGTGGACAACCTGACTCTCATGTAAAATTGACGAATTTAGGTTGCCACCATATGACAACCTGTTGCTCAAATATAATCATGTCATAACCCTTTGGGTGGCAATGTGCCCAGATGCACCCTACTTTGTTATTTTACTCTGTCTAACACCAGAAATTTTACTCATCCCTAGGGGAGAGTGCTGCCCCTCAATAAGTTAATCAGATTATCTGCCCTTGCATCCGTGAGTGATTTTGATAATATCTTTACCACTAGATTGCACCGACGGCAAAGAATCTTTGGCCAGATGGAGACGAAGAAGGCGATGGAAATGGCATCTTTCATGGCGAACCTTGGGATTCCAACACACTGCTGCCGTCCGTACCTCGAGTTACATCTGAACATGCAGTCTCGCAGCCGATCAACATGGCTCGGCCTGTTAACGCTCGCAACTACAATGGTGTTGAACAGCATGGCGTATTGTCACCACGCTCAACAGATGGTGTCGGCATGAGCGTTGCAGAGTTCGTTCTTGGGTCATCACCTGGCGTTGGCGATATTGAGGCACAGATAACTAAAATGAAAGCTAGGATGGTAAGAGCTGTTTCAGATTAACCTGTTGAGCTGCAATACACTGAAATGTGCACACTACTTTAAATGTGCTGGCAGCACTCATTGGGTTAAACCCAGACCTACAAATTAGTGCTCTTTATGATCAGACATATGACCAATGTAGGCTGGTCAAATCTCCAATTATAATTATATTCCAGGGTGTTTTGCTATTTGAAAAGGGAGTTTTGCTATTTGAGAAGGGAGTTTTGCTATTTGAAAAGGGAGTTTTGCTATTTGAAAAGGGAGTTTTGCTATTTGAAAAGGGAGTTTTGCTATTTGAAAAGGGAGTTTTGCTATTTGAAAAGGGAGTTTTGATATTTGAAAAAAAAGTTTTGCTATTTGAAAAGAAAGTTTTGCTATTTGAAATGCCAATCTATTTTACTCTGCCTAATGCCAGAAGATTTTACTTGTCAGGAGGAGAGTGCTGCCAAATTGGATTAACCTGTTGAGCTGCAATACGCTGAGTTCATTAATCCATTGAGTCGCAATGCGCCCCAGTGCGCCTTAAGCTACGTTTACACGCTGCGATTTGTCGGGCCGATTTTGGTAAATAATCGATGCCCCTTCTTCGACATTTAGCAATTTAAACGTTCAATTGAAGCTGTCCGCTCTCTCATCTGTTTATATTATAGTTTTCTGCGTGCGAAAAGTTTTCAACAACTTTACAACGGAAGAAAAATCGTTGAATCGTGAGAAAAATCTGTGATTTTGTTACAGATTTTTCTCCTGATTTTGTGAATCGCAAGGTGCTGATGCGAGTACTCACGACAGTTTATTTACATACAGCGAGCAAAATCGGCCCGACAAATCGCAGCGTGTAAACGTACCTTTACTTATTTTTTTACATGTCTAAAGGCTGATTTCCACTGTTGCATTTTTCTTTTTCATACGTACGTATACGCACGTAAAACTTTAAATCCATTTAAATGTTACTTATGAAATAACCAAATAAATAAAGCAACAGAATTCAGTGTTCCGCAAGTTTTAGTATGCATTTGTTAACTTATTTGTAAAATATTTAAAAAATAGAAGGATTCCAAGTTTTACGTGCATGTACGTGCGTACGAAAAATGAAACCACAGAGTAGATAAGACATACAGAGACGTAACTGACCGTTGTAAACACTGTGGAAGATTACGTTATCATGTACCCACTTTTTCTCAGGCGACCGGGCGAAAAATGATCAACTGCGCGTGCTCAGCAAGTTTAAAGTGAGTCGTCATCAGGTCGTCATCCAATCAGATGCATGCATCTAGTAACTTGCCGAGCACGCGCACAAAAAAAGTGGGTACACTAGTTACGTCTCTGTATGTCTCTACTCTGTGACGCAACAGTGGAAATCAGCCTTAACGCCAGACGATTTTACTCATCAATGGGGAAGCTCTGCAGCTTAATGGGTTAAACCTATCATATAGAATGTAAAAACAATTTATAATGTTAATTTGTTGCCCTATTTCCAACCTCAGAATCAGCCAGAAAAGGAAGAGAAAGAGTTGAAACCAGAAGTCTCAATTGGCAACCAGGTTGAACATGTGAGGTCGCCATTTGAGGACGAGACTGCCGAGGAAGTGAGAAGCGTTTTGAAACGAGAACAGAAGAACAACTCCCCACAACCTGTGCCAAGAGCACTCGCTGATGAGAAACCTCCACTCACTTTTAGGTACGTATTTTCGAGCGGCTTTGCTATAGGGTGAGGCGGTTAATCGATAAACTGAAAAACCAATGTCTTTTGAAAACCGATTCAACCAGTGTTGTCCCAACCAAAAAAATGGAACAAATTTGGAAAAACACTGTTTGAGACCTGCCTTTCAAACAAAAATATTAACCTCAAAGATGCTGGTCGTGTGATCTGCTAAAATCTAGCAGATTTCTAATTAACTATCTTGGATTCCTTTACGACAATCATACAAAATGCAATATAAAAATAATACAAATATCAAATATTTATTGACCTCATCTTGGATTGCTAATTAAAAATCTGCTAGAATTTAGCAGATCACATATATGACCAGGGTCTTTTCTCCCTTCGCCAAGAGGAAAGACCCTGGATACGAGGTTGTAAAAACATGAGAAAATAGTACACCTTACAGTGACTTACTGCTTACGTATTTAGGCAGTACCATTAATACAAGTGTTTTTAAAACTAAAGTCTTGATAATGTAGCATGAAATTTAATCCAACTGTAGAAAATTTTGACACAAGTTATATAAATTGTTTTCTTTCCAGACAGTTTTCGGTTTTTACCTGAACCACCTCGCTCTATTTACATATTACTCTAATATCATACCGGTACTCATAATATCACAAGGATTAGTGTCATCAAGAGGAGATGCTGGCATAAAATAACACAAAAATATCAAACTACTGTAGCATTTACATGACTTCAACATCAACACACTTCCTTAGATCCGCTTCCAGAATGTGTGATCATGTGATGACATCACATCATTTCATATTACGTCATTCAACAGCTTGTTGCTGCGTCATTGGAAGTGCATGAGTCATTGGTGTGTGACAGTATCATACCTCCATGTGTGTGTTTTCATGCTTTGTGTTGTGTTAAACATCTCTGAAATGTTTCATTGATGATTTGACTTTGTTATTACACATGGCCAACTGCACTGGAGACATTTTAAATAGCTTCAAAAACAAAACTAGAAAAATGAAAAACTTTACTTGTCAAGGCCAAGGGGAGACTGCTGTGTGTCTACTGTAGTTAACCCATTAAGTTCCATTGCACCAGGGCTGTCCTACTTTATTACTTTACTCTGTCTAATGACAGACAATTTTACTTGTCAAGGGGAGAGCGCTGGTACTCAATATGCGTTAAACTTTTTGAAGCCCATTTGAAAAATTGCAAGGAGGCAATTTGCAAGAGAATTTCTCCATGTAGCTGTAATGAGCAAAACATTTGCATAATGTCAAATAGAATAATGTTTTGCTTTTTAGCCATTAGTATTCAGGGGTTTTTTCCGGGATTTTTAGGACCGTAAAACGGCTCCAAAAACTCAATTTTGAATTGAGTTTTGAAACTTAATCTTCTCAACCAGTATTCAGTGCAGTAAAAATGAAGTTAAATTCGTGACGTGTGCAAATTAGTTTTCAGTTGGAAACCCGACAATCAAGAAAAAATGGCTGGAATTCATTTCACAACACAAGAAAAACAACGCATTTGCCATCTTTAACCAGTTTATAGTGTCCCTTAGTTAGTGACCCTGCTTTATTTAACACATTGCGTCTCAACTACACTTGTTGGGTACAGGTGTCAGCCTCCCGCAGCTGCCTCACACCCCCAGCTGTTGAGCTAAATTCAATCTTCTCTGGGTTTTTCCTGGAAAAAACCCCTGGTATTTTGTGTTACGGTGGCAAGCGTTTAAACATGTGTTATATTTACGAATTTTCGCACGGCTTAGTACGTTTTCATATTTCCATATCAAAATCATGCAACGGGACGTAAAATAACTTAATTTAACAAGAATACTTAGCTGTATAAACTGTAAAGCCCTTGGACAAATGAGAATGAGAATTGGCTGTCACGAATTGTTATAGGGGACATTTCAAAGCTCGATAGATTAACAAAAAAAAAAGAAAGCCAGGTTTGATGAGTGTTCCAACTATGTTTTAACTTAAATAGAATAGATGTTAGTGTTGGGAAGGCATTAAGAACAGCTAACTAAGATCGTGTGACTGCCAACTCTTATTCTTGTTTCATCCGGGCTCAACAACAGTATGCTTACAACAAATAACAATAGTTGGTGTAAAGACGAGGAGGCTTCAAAGCCACATATAACTAACATCTTAACTTTTGAACGTTTACATTTTCACCAGCCGTACACCAGGCAGTCGGCAGTCGTCACCAGCAGAACAACAAGCGTACAACGACATGGCACAACCAAACCAAGTCCCTGCCACGAAACCTTCGACCCCCATCAAACCACTAACCAAGGTTGACGTCACTGACCCCCTCATGATGGACCCGTTAGAAACGAGCAGCTTCGATAGTTTCCCAATGAATTATGGGAATGCTCAGCAAAACGAGATGATTATCGGTGGGAACTCGTATTTCAACGGTCAGCCGGTACAAGTGGTGACTTCGCAACGCTCCCAGCAACAGATAGCAATGGCTGCCCAACAACAGCAACAGCAGCAAATGGGGCTGCAGTCCGCAGCTTACCCTGGGAATTCATATTTCATCGCAGCTTCCCCCACGCAAGACCCCTACGGGGGTGTCCCCCTCGCCACTGTCCCCAACCCCGGTCAAGCACAGCAGGTAGTGCACCCACAGTATCAAGCAACGTACAACACGGTGCCGTGGGGTGTCTACCAACCCTCTAATCCAGGACAGTTTGTGCAACAACAACAACCGCAACTTCTGAGAACAAGTGCTTCAGGTCGTCCACCTGGAAGCGAAGTTATACCACAACAGGTAGGTTGGCATGGGTGGGGGAATGAGTTGAAAGACTGATTTAACCATAAGCCGCAACGAACATAAAATTGTTTAACTTAATGTAAAAGCATTTTATAGCTGTGTTGTGTTTACCAGAACGTATTTGCTTGATTTACTTAACAAAGACATGAATATGAAATAGATGTTCAGCTAAATTTGAAAGTTTCGATCGAATTCATTTTGGTCGGACATTTTTTCCGGACATTTTTTGAACATTATTTCAGGCTCTTCGGGGTTACGGAAGCTGAAACAAAAATTTATTCTCTCTACAGCAAAATACCTTGTCTCTTGGTAACTACCAGCTTCTAGCAGCACCCGGGACCTCACTGAATCTCAGCAATGCTTACTACGATCAATCTGGCAATGTCGTAGTTGGAACAGCCCAAGGTCTTGCTACGGCACAGCTAACCAACCAGTTAAGCCAACCAGTGCGCATGATTCAACCCTTGGTTATCAACGATGTGGGTCAAGCTGGTGGTCGGGTGGCCAATACTCCTAACGGCCTGAGATTGTTCAGTCAACCCCAGGGACAACAGCAACTTACAGCAATTGGAAACCAAGGATCTTTGGGGTACCTCACACAAACCTCTGCTGGCAACGGCATGTCGGGTTTGCAACTTAATGGTGGCGTCATCAGTAATGTCGGAGGGACGTCTGGGACTCTAGGGAGTATTGGTGGAGGCGGAGGTCAACCCGAGGGACTCATGAGTGATCTAACCCGACGTCAACCTATACCAATCTATGGTACATCCAGTTCACTTGGTAGTCTATCTGTCAATTCACAACCACCATCCCTTGGTATTCCAGAACTTCAGACACCACCATTGCCCAGTGGATTTCACGTTGGTAGCCCTATTGGTAGTGGTATGCCACAGTATCTACCATCAACTGCCCCTGGCAGTGATCGCAAATACACCAATGCTCTAAATGGTCTTTCCAGTGCGGGCTTATACAGTGGTAGCCCGTTATCGTCAAGCACCTTCCGTGGGAGTCGTCTCAAAGAGTCAACCCGAAGTAGACTGCTCGAAGATTTCAGAAACAACCGTTTCCCCAATATTCAACTTCGAGACCTGGCCAATCATATCGTGGAGTTCTCGCAAGACCAGCACGGATCCCGGTTTATACAACAGAAACTTGAACGCGCCAGCCCGAACGAAAAACAAATGGTTTTTAATGAGATTCTTCCGGCTGCCTACAATTTGATGACGGATGTGTTCGGGAATTATGTCATACAGAAATTCTTTGAGTTTGGAAACCGAGAACAAAAGCAACATCTCGCGAACTGTATACAAGGTCACGTGTTGCCACTAGCGTTACAGATGTATGGATGTCGTGTCATACAAAAGGCGTTGGAATGTATTCCTGCCGACCAACAGGTAAATTATGACCAATTTAAGATTTCTGTGATGTTATTCTGAGTGTATATCCACACCGGGCGAGCTTGAGAAATATGTCCGGCTACGGTGGGAATCGAACCTACGACCTTTGGAATACTAGCCCGAAATATCACTTACTCGAACCCACCTGACCGCGTAACTCAGTTGGCAGAGCATTGATTGAGCTAGTATTCCAAAGGTCGTAGGTTTGATTCCCACCGTGGCCGGGCATATTTTTCAAGCTCGCCCGGTGTGGATATACACTCAGAGTAACATCACAAGATTATTCCAAAATTTGCAATTCCTGGAGAAATGACTGATGTGTTACCTAAATGTGAACACAGACAATTATGTCTTCATTATTTGTATAGGTAGTATAGTATGGTTTCGAGTACAATTTGGAAAAAAACATGCGCGGTAAAAGCATTGCCATTGATGAAATATTTTTATTTTGTTTGAACCAATAGAAAGAACTCGTGAGAGAACTGGATGGTTATGTGTTGAAATGTGTAAAAGATCAGAATGGGAATCATGTTGTTCAGAAGTGCATTGAGTGTGTTGATCCAGGCTATCTGCATTTTATCATCATTGCTTTCAAAGGACAGGTATGGTTTGCGGTTACATTGTGTAAATTGACTTAGTGAAGCTTGAAAACACTCATAGTATGGCTTTCTGTGATCGCAATGACGTCGTCACTTTGACTCGTGTCCTCAATCCAAGATGGCGGACAGCTCATTGCTTTCCATGTTGCTTTCAATCGAAATATTTCAAGAATCAAGCAAGATGTGATAATTCTGTAACAATATTTTATAGATAATTTTAAACGTTCTTTCAAGTGAGACAATGGCCATTTTTTTAAGAGCGAGAGCTTGTTTATATTTTCAAAATGCGCCGCTAAAATCGGCCAAAAATGAAGCGTTCATATATGTGGAGAATTTTATCCCAGTTGAGGTGACCTCGCCTAGCCGCGCTTGCTCGTCTCTGACATGAACACATAATCATTTTATCAGCATCAAAAATGGCATGCGAGTCTCCCTTGGATGAATCTCCAGGTTAACTTGGCTCTTGTGAACCTTACTCTTACTAATGCTGCCAATTCTCTCAGGTTGTAACGCTATCAACACATCCCTATGGTTGTCGTGTGATACAACGTATCTTAGAACATTGCAACCAAGAACAGACCTCGCCAATCTTGGATGAACTGCACGATAACATTGAACGCTTGGTACAGGACCAATATGGTAATTACGTAATACAACATGTCCTGGAACACGGCACGTATGAAGATAAGAGCAAGATAGTGATGCAGCTCAAGGGAAATATCGTACTGCTGAGTCAGCATAAGTTTGCAAGGTATGTAGCCTGAGGAGTGGGGTGGGGTAATTCCCTTTAGACCATATACGAGTGTAAGAGCCTTACCCTTTCAAGTCAGTGAAATATTTATATTACATGCAAAAATATGGACCAATAATGAATTTTGAAAACTGGCCAGAGTTTGTTTTTTTATTGTGAGCAGAAACTAATTTCGATTTTCAATTGTTTGTAGTAATGTTGTGGAGAAGTGTATCACGCATGCGTCAAGGCCTGATCGTGCAATTCTTATCGAGGAAGTCTGCAATAGCACGGATGGGTATGTAGCGAAATAATATTTAAACACATTTGCAATTAGGTCTTCGGGAAATTTTCCAAATGGCGACGTGACGTAGTGCATATTGAAGAGAATATTGTATGCAGTATTTTAAATCTTTATGCTGTGTCATTTTAAGGTAAGGTGATTCGAATAACACTAATCTATGTACATGTCTGGGTGTGTTTATCAGGGCTTTCAGGTTCATTTTTGGTAAGCGGTTTTAGTGAGAAAGTGGGCGGTTGTCCGCAACGAAAGAATCATTTCACTAATGACAATATTACAAGTGTGGTCGTCCTGTTTGCTCGCTTTTTTATTGGTTTGCAGTATAAGCGATGTTAGTTAAATATGCAGTTCAAGTTTGGCTGACTTGTTTTTTAAATAGATCTGTTTATATTAACTTAAGAAAATGCTACAAAACACCATGCATTATTGGATGAATGCGATTTAGAAAAGATTTACCAAAATGTTTCCAAAATGACTCCTTAATTCCATTCAATATTATTCTCAAAGAAAGTTGAATGAGCGATACAGGGGAGGTTTACCATTGTAATTGCAGGGAAAGCCTACACATGCAAAGACTTGCACGCATGTTTTCACTCCGCCGGCTTGTCCAAATTGTACAACGATGCAAGGCCAAAAGCGGCTTTGTATTTCTTTTCCAAAATTGGAAGTCCAACGCGACGTGCGTGCGCACAACATGGCGGTCGTTAGCTTTTTGCCAGGATTTCTTCTGAATTAATATATGGCGATATTTTCTCACCAAGCTAGTTTTATTTCCATTGCAGACCTCAGAGTGGCTTGTTTAGCATGATGAAAGATCAGTTTGCAAACTATGTTGTCCAAAAAATGATCGATGTTGCCGAGGCACCTCAGAGAAAACTACTTATTGTCAAAATACGACCTTTTGTCGCAACACTGAAGAAATATACCTATGGAAAACACATCTTGGCCAAGCTTGAGAAGTACATGATCAAACCTGGCTTGGAATACTCGCCATTTGGGACCACGTTGCTATGATAAAACGTTATCCCCCGGGGGTGCCACCCTATCTGTGGGAGAAGGGGTAATTCATTTACAGGGGGCCCCCCAAGTCGGTCAGTGCATAGCTATTGACCTACACTGTGTACAACGCGAATATAGTAGCATATTTTTAAGACATGGCACAGTTTTTATTCCGTATATAGAATACCTGTGTTGAGTATATATAAATTCCAGTTGTATGTTTGTATCTAGACAGCGTGTATTATGTGGGTCAGTGATTTTTAGACTCTGATTACAACTCGCCCATCTTTGAAAAATTTGTATCTAGTGTAAGAATGTGAATATGACACGGTCATGTATAGATTATATTATATAGATAGCGTGTAGAGACTGCTAAAGGAGCGAAAATCTTTGGTTTCTAATATGAAGAATTAACACGTGATTACCACGTGGTTTACATGTGATTCACACGTGGCGAACTCGTGATTTCCACGTGATGAACACGTGTGAGTGAGAAGTCAAAATTCCTTCATTTGACATATAAAGAAAAGTTCAAGAACAGAAAAATATAAAATTAGCTATATATTATTAAATTTTAACATATTTTCGTATCTTTCGAGGTATTAAACAAAAAATAAAACAGTTTGATCAAAAAACCTGAAAACATTGTTTCCTAGCCATGTTCCACCGTTGTTTCCTAGCCACGTTCCCAAATGGTGGACAGTCCAAGAAGATTTAGAGCGCCATGGTTGTGGATGCAATGTTTTCCAGCAATTTCTGGACAAATATTCTGATGTAAAAATGTATACAATATGTAGGGAAATTTTTTTCGGTATGTGTTTAGAAATGTAGCGATATCGAATTTGACTTTTGGAATTAAAAATAACTTGCACAAATTTTGCACTGTACTATATTTTTGTATAAATGAATGCAACTATGAAATAAATTCTAAAATTCCATTTTTGATTGGGATCAAATCGGAATACAGTTTTAAAAGTGTAAACGCCAAAGATTTTTTTAACCTTTAGTAATTATTTCCCCCAGGTTACGACTTGTGACGACAAGTCTAACCACCGGTAGATTTGTAAAAGTGTGTATCAATTATTTAGCTATGACGTGTTATTATGAAAATTTAAATTTGTACAAACGATGTACATTTGTGCATAATTTAGGATATGTGAGGATATGTAAGGTAATCTATGGACCTCAATGTACAATATGTATTCAATTGTGTAGACTGCAACCTAACTTCAGCTACTTGTCGAAAATTTAAGCTGCCCATCTCACGAGAAATTTTGAGCGAAAAAGTGTCGATAGTTTTCGCTAATTTATGAAAATCTTTTCATTTTGTTTTGAAAATCCTACTGTTCTCCATGTCATCCAGTCATGATCCAGTGATCAGAATGTTCTATTGTCTTTTCATTGTTTGAAAAATCTCGCTGTTCTCCATACCATCCACTCATGATCCAGTGATCAAAATGTTTTATTGTCTTTTCATTGTTTTGAAAATCGCACTGTTCTCCATGCCATCCAGTCATGATCTAGTGATCAAAATTTTCCTTTGTCTTTTCATTGTTTTGAAAATCCTACTGCTCCATGCCATCCAGTCATGATCCAGTGACCAAAATGTTCCATTGTCTTTTCATTGTTTTGAAAATCTCACTGTTCTCCATGCCATCCAGTCACGATCCAGTGATCAAAATGTTCCATTGTCTTTTCA